ACTTTCAGTTAGATTACACATATTTATTCAGATTTAAAACAACTTAAACTAAAGTCAAACTGAATGAAATATATGCATAGTTATATATTTAGCAATAAAATATTAACACGATAAACATTTAAAGTTTTATATTCATATATTATAATATATTATATAAAAATTATATATTTATTTAGTTAGTTTATTATTCATTTGTATTTTTAAGAATTGAACTGTGATCTATAGCGGACACTTTGTTGTTATGTGATTTTGCAAAAGAGAGTAAAGTTATTATTTAGGGTTTTTTTTTTTATACATTTTAATGTTCATAATTTTTTTTGTTATAGTCAAGAAATGTTATCAACCAGTAGTGAATGGTGAGTTTATGTTGTGTCTAACTTAAGGGATTCATCCTGATAAGTGTGTTTAAACTTCTTCCAAATGTCTTTTTCTAACCAAATGTTTTGTTTATTATTATCTATGCCAAATGTGAACATTTGGTTGTTTTTTTTATTTCTGTTCTGTGTGTCATATACATATATATGTATATGTACACATATTTTATACATGCACACAGACACACGAAAAAGGAAGCTACTCTGTTTGATCTGAGCAGATTTATGTTCAAAGGCGGAGGCATCCAACAGGGGGTCCGCGACCCCTATGGGGTTCACAGAGGTACAGCATGGGGGTCGCTTAAGTTTTGGTTGATTAGACTTTTTTTTATATTCCCTCCTGCATTTTTTTCCCAGATATTGAAATTTCTTTAAATACACATTAACATGAATTCAACACACTGTAGTAAACAGATAAATGGATGCAGAAGACACCTGTCCCATCAACCAGTAGTCAGAATCAGAAATATTTTAATAATTCCGGGCCGAAATTATTTTCGTTACATGACTCCATATGTAATATAGTGACTAAAGGACCAGTTTGATATAACACAATTTCATACAATATATATAATTAGGGGGTCTCCGCTCCATCTCGCCATCTGTTTCTCAAGTTTCCGTAGCCTGGACACTAGCGGTCCCGTGCTTCCACCCGCCTGCTGGCTCTCTGCCCCCGTCCACCGGGGTACCAGACCAGCTCTGGAGTGCCCGGTCCGGCCCAGCAGGAACCCCACCCCCCCCCCTTTCAGAAACCCTAATCTGGTCACCCAATGCTAAGGCTCGCCCTAAAGTGGACATAATTACCATCTGATTTATTCCCTCTCAAAACTACTTTAAACAGCAGAGTTCTTGCCCCACAAATTCTCACCATTGGCAAAATGGGTAGTCTGGATAGTCTGGCTGGTGCTCACCTGCTTGTCTACCAATCTTTGAATTGTCTTTGTGTTAATTCCCAACCATCATCATAAAGGTTGATTATTATTAATTTGAATGGTAATTATCGATTTATGGCTCTTAGAAATGAGAAACCTATACTTTCCAAAATGTTTGTCAGACATACAGTAGTATGACCGAATTTCAATGCACTTCTATTAAAAACTAATATAGAACTGATAACTTTCCCATATTAAGCAAACCTTCATTTTCTGACCTAAAACAGTACCTAAATGATACGTATAGGTGATTCAGATGGAGCACTTTGAATACTCTCTGATGCTACCAGGAGTTCTTTCAAGGCAGTTTCATAAAATCACATTGTTTACAGATTTCATCTCCATTGTCAGAAACCACGTGTTGTTTTCAGCAGTATAAACTCCATCTCTACCTGCTAGTTTTTCATCACATTTCACATCCTTCAGCTCTGCTGAAATCCTTATACCACTGGACAATAGAGAGCTTCTATGGATTTACAGTAAGGCACACCAGTTTCACTGTTCGGAATTACTGCAGCGGGGCAGCAATACTTCACTACCCACGACATAGCCAATCCAGGACAGTCTCTTTTCAAACACCTCTCTTTCAGCAGATTAAGACTATTTCTTCACCATGGCGGTGAAGAAACTACAGTAGGAACACAATCCTAAGGGATTTTATCGTCTGGAACATCTCAGGGTCAATAATCTTGCTGTGTATAGTTTTTCAGAGTGATTGGGTCTGCTCAGTAGAACGTGCTTAGCTCTGTCCGGCTCCTAATTATCACTCGTCTCATCCACCTGCCGTTCTCCCTTATATTGGGCTCAGTTCCAGCTATTGTGGCCAAATCATTGTTTGTTTTGCTTTCTGTTAGTTACCTGTTTGATGTCTTTGGTGTTAATTTCGCTAGTTTTAGTTAGTCCAAGGTTCATGTCCCTGTTCCAGTGAGGAGAATATTCTGGAGCCACTGTCTTCCCAACCCGCTTCCCAACCCGCCCAGGGCGGGCGGAGGGGGAAGCAGGCAAGGAGGGCCAGGAACAGAAACAGAAGAGGGTCCAGAAATCAACACAACCCACCCAGGGTGGGCGAGGACAGGGAAAGTCTCGGGTGGCCGGCCGTGGGGCCGGAGGCAAGGCAGAGTCTCAGGTGGCCGGCCGTGGGACCGGCAGCAGGGTAGAGTATCAGGTGACCGGCCGTGGAACCGGAGCTGAGGCAGACGCTCCGGGGGCCTGAGTCTCAGAAGCTGCAGGGACCCCGGTGGAGGACGCCATATCTGCTTCTGCAGGAAGCTCCGAGGAAAACACCGTCTCCGCTTCAGCAGGAAGCTCCGAGGAAAACGCCGTCTCCGCTTCTGCAGGCAGCTCCGAGGAAAACGCCGTCTCAGCTTCTGTTGCTCAGCAACAGGCTCAGACAGGACCGCCCACTGCGGCTCCGAATCAGGAACACAGGAAACCGCCGACTGCGGCTCCGAATCCAGAAGAAAGGGAACCGCCGATTGCGGCTCCGAATCAGGAACTGAGGAAGCCGCCGATTGCGGTTCCGAATCAGGAACACCGGAAGCCACCGACTGTGGCTCCGAATCAGGAACAGAGGAAACCACCGACAGTGGTTCCACATCAGGAACAGAGGAAACCACAGACTGTGGCTCCACATCAGGAACAGAGGAAACCACCGACTGTGGCTCCACATCAGGAACAGAGGAAACCACCGACTGTGGCTCCACATCAGGAGTCTTTGGAAGACACGAAGCGGGCTCAGGGGCCTCCAGACGGCTCAGAGCGGGCTCAGGGGTCTCCAGACGGCTCAGAGCGGGCTCAGGGATCTCCAGACGGCTCGGAGTGGGCTCAGGGGTCTTCAGACTGCTCATAAACTCCTGCAATTTGCGACTCCCCTCCTCATGATGTCTATGCCACGCCACCACCCAGGGTCATCCGACCGCAAACTCCTCCAGGAGTGCGTCGAAGGAGTCTGGTGGGCTAGTCTGTTGGCCGGATTGTTCTGTCATGATCAGCAGGATTACTAGCCCAGATGCAGAACTCACAGACTCAGAGGCAGGATAAAAGTCAAATATTTTATTGGATGAGCACAGGTTTCTACCTGGGAGGCAGAAAGGACAAGGCAGGTTAGGTTCAGGTTTACAGGAAAACCGCCGACTGCGGCTCCGAATCCAGAAGACAGGGATCCGCCGATTGCGGCTCCGAATCAGGAACTGAGGAAGCCGCCGATTGCGGTTCCGAATCAGGAACACCGGAAGCCACCGACTGTGGCTCCGAATCAGGAACAGAGGAAACCACCGACTGTGGTTCCACATCAGGAACAGAGGAAACCACCGACTGTGGCTCCACATCAGGAACAGAGGAAACCACCGACTGTGGCTCCACATCAGGAACAGAGGAAACCACCGACTGTGGCTCCACATCAGGTTAGGTTCAGGTTTACAGGAAAACAGGTTTACAGGGTCAGAACAGGCAGGGTGGCACAGGCTTGCTTAACAAAAAACTGTTTAACAATCCGGCTCAGATGGAAGTTCTCACCCAGCTTAAATAGGGAGAGCATAATCAGCAGATGGGAAACAGCTGCTTCAAATGAGCACCAGCTCTCAGGAGAGGATCCACGGCGCCCTCTGGTGGGCAAGCCTCTGGATCCCAACCGACAGCAGAAACCCCCAGGAAGGGATCCACATCGCCCTCTGGAGGGCAAACCTTTGGATCCCAACACTAACCAGTGGTTAGAGCGTTTCAGAGTTTCAGTGTTTCCCTTGTTTCACAGCCCGCTTCTGTTCTGTTTCAGTTTGTTTGTTTAAATTAATGTTTTGAACTTACCTACTGACTGTCTCACCTTGAATACTGGGTCCATCTGTAGCGTTTTCTGAGAGCTAGTCCAAACAATGACAGCATATATACAGGTAGGATCATAATCCTGGTGAAAGAACATGTAGATGATGTTTTGGGGTGTACTTTCTAACTTAAAAACATCTTAAAATTATAAATTTCCCATTCATCACAGTAATGAAGCCAAGCCACTCTCCTGATGTATCTGAGACCATGATTGCATTGAAAGTATCTGTCATAATTGAAGGTGACTCTGGACGAGAGCAACTAGAGGTTGACAGAACTTAAATTTTCTAGGCAACGTGATGCATTTGGTTTTTTGAGTTTTCCTTACTTAAATTCACTGTGGTTGAGTTTACAAAGATTTTTGAGTTCTGCCAACTTAGGTTTTTGGAGTGTTACATAGAAATTTTGAGTTCTACTAACTTAGGTTTTTTAGTTTTACTCATACATTTTGAGTTCTACTAACTTAAGTTTTTTAGTTTTACTCATACATTTTGAGTTCTACTAACTTAGGGTTTTTAGTTTTACTCATACATTTTGAGTTCTACTAACTTAGGTTTTTTAGTATTATTCATACATTTTGAGTTCTACTAACTTAGGTTTTTTAGTTTTACTCATACATTTTGAGTTCTAATAACTTAGGTTTTTTAGTTTTACTCATACATTTTGAGTTCTACTAACTTAGGTTTTTTAGTTTTACTCATACATTTTGAGTTCCACTAACTTAGTTTTTTCAGTTTCACCTTTAAGTTCTGAGTTCTATCAACTTTGTTTTATGAGTTTGAAATATAGATTTTGAGTTCTACAAACTCAGATTTTGTAGTGTTATCTGTAAGTTGAGTTCTATCAACTCACTACCCATCATTCAACACACAAAAAATTATGTTAATACAAAATTTTTATTGCACTATATCAACAGATACAAACAAACCACATGTTGAACTGCTATGGGGAGAGCACAGAAGAGCTTGGCGCCCTGAGAACTGAGCTTCTTGAGAACTGCTCTTCTGTCTGTCTGTGTGTGGGGTGAGAGAACAGTGTGTACAGTATATGAGAGCTATGCTGGCGAGCAGAGTAGCAGGTGTGTGTTCACATTGGTAATGGAACCTAACAAGCTGTTATATATCAAGATTCAAAACAACAACAACAACATAAACCACATATATTAGAAAAATATACCCACAATGAACTCAGTGAATTTTCTTAGCTTCTAGAAGAAAGCACAGAGGAGCTTAGTGCCCTGTGAACTGAGCTTCTTAAGAACTGCTCCTTTCCTCTCTGTGTGCTTGTGCAGCATGCTTGTTCTTGGAGAAGTTTTCTGGAGAACAATGTGTGTGTACAGACCTATTCATGTAGTGGTTAGCAAAGAGCTATATGTGTGTGTGTGTTCATGGAGAAGTTGTTGGAGAACAATGTGTGTGTACAGGCCTGTTAATGTGGTAGTCGGCAAAGAAGAGCTTTGTGTGTGTGTGTGTTCATGCAGGAGTTATGACAAAGCTGTGTGTGAGTACATGCGTGTTGATGTCCATGTGAGTGTCAATCATACACAGGCTTCACAGCAACAGCTTCTCTTTCAAGGATCGCATGCGCTGTGAGCATCTTGATCCAAGTTCGAAAAAGATGTTCTGGATAGCCTCGAAGGTGTACCTCATCTGCTCTGGATAGTTTATGTCCATTGCGTACAAAAGGCCAAACAGGCAGGCGAAGGCAGCTGCGAGGTCAGGTGAGTTGTGTAGTATTACTGCCCCTTCCAAGACGATGGCGATGTCAGTCACTGTTGTCCATGCGGCAGCATCATCATCTACATAGACGGTCAGTATTGCAACGGGCACTCCTGCAACTACCGATTCTTCAGGGTCTGTGTCCTGATGGTAAAAATCAGACACATCGACATCTTTTAGCGATAGACACCCTGTAACAGTTGCTGTCACCCATTAAACAACACATATCCTTATTTAGTTGTTTACAGTCACATTTAGTCACAAGACTACCAGCCAATACTTTTCCAGTCTCTGGGGAGATATTAAAAAGGCACTGCAAAACTATAGTAATCACACCAAATTGCTCTTGACTTACTTACCACACACTTCAAATAGAACTGTGATGCATCGTCACGAACAAAAATGGGAAGGCCTTTCAGTGCTGCTGTCCTTCGATGACGCACAATGTCTGTTGTCTGTGAACATGTGCACACAAACAAACACATTGTAACGCAGCAAGATGACTCAAATCAAGAATATCTGTAAACAGCAAATGGCAATGTTTGATTTTGATGATTTAAAGTCATTTTTGTATTTGCATGTAGTTTAGTTTGGGGCACTTTACCCACCTCTTCATCAAGTTTATTCAGCAACATCTCCATATCTGGACCAAAAGCTGCTTTTCTGGCTCGGTACAGTTTTATCAGGCGAGGTACATAGTTGTCGAGGGATGCATTCCAAGTTGCCCGGAGGTCTCTGCTGGTGATTCGGTAAAATTCTTCAGATATCTGGACACAAGCAACAAAACAGTCTTTAATTATAATATCCATGTCAGGGCTTAATGTGGTAGTCATGCCAGCCTAAAGCAACAGGAATGAGCAATAGTACACAAATACACAAGGAAATCCATACCTCCTCATGAGAAAACAGTGCAGGCCATCGTTCTTGGACTTCTGACACCATAGGCTGCACTTCTACGATTTCTCTCCGACGATGGGAGAAAGTCAGTTCCATCTTCTGCCTAATCAGACCCATGTTCCTTTTCCTTTTCTTCATTTCTTCAATCAGTGCAAGCCTTTCCTCCTCAAGAGTGGTACCATCATGGTTGTCTGGATATTCTGGAACATGGTTGACCTCTCCACGTTTGGCCCTTTTCAGGATGAACGGAGCAGCCACTCCATCCTCTCCCTTTCTTTTTGTATTCACCATCACCTCATTGCAGCCTGCACGACGCAACTTTGCCCTGAAGTTGCCCATCTTATAATGAAGACTCTTCAGCCATCCATCATAGCCAGTTACACTATCTGTCTCCTTTAGACAAGGATACTTGACCAGAAGACCAGACGCAACAGACACTAATTCATCCTTACTGGGATAGGCACCTCTGATATCAAAAATACTCTGCCAAAGTTTATTCACAATGTCAGATCTCATATCTCCTGTAAGAATGAGGCGCTTCTGTGTTCTTTCATATACGTCATTTCCCTTACGCAATCTCAGCTCAACATCATACGCAAATTTAGGGATTGTGAATGGATTTGGCCACCAAGTTGTACGCCTTAAAGGGGTCTGGGGAGAATCTGTATTGCTCTGGACAGAACTTGAGGAGGGAGAAGGGAGGGACTCGAACAAGCTCCCCTGGACAGAACTTGAGGAGGTAGAAGGGAGGGACTCGAACAAGCTCCCCTGGACAGAACTTGAGGAGGTAGAAGGGAGGGACTCGAACAAGCTCCCCTGGAAGGAACGAGTAGGGCTCCTCTGCGCCTCATTACAGTCCTCAGAGTGTAAGCTGGCTGTGTCAAGGGAGGACACTGAGCCAATGGAATGGCTATCAGATCGGCTGAGGGGAGATTCCCCAGTGTTCCACACAATGTGCAAGACAGCACGCCCATCTGGCAACTCTGACATTTGAGTCAACTGACATAATGCATTTGAAAAATCGGGGTCCTCGAACTGGAGTGAGAAATCACCTTCCAACTGGATTTTGTCTTTAAGTACATCGATGAGCTGGTCAACAGATGCTGGTATCTCTGTGAGCAGGATTCGACGGGCTTCTTTTGGAGAGATAACTACTCGAAGTAACAAAGTCTGTAAAGGGGGGGGTAAATGTTGAAGTTAACAACACAACTGCAATGGTAATGTTAAATTTAAACACAGAAACACATTTAAATTGAAATAACAGTGACTCATCAACATACCATTTTTAATGGCTTAGTTGAGGATGAATGTCCTTGTGGTCACCATCAGTTTCCCACCAACTTTGTATTGTTTTAGAGGGTGATAGTCTATCAACAGATCTGGATCCAAGGCAACTGTTTCAGAGAGTTGGCTTTCAACAAGTTCATAAGATCGTAAATGTTCAATGTACCTTGAAACAAGTGTTCGGCAAATAAACGTCACTTCCTGTGCATTTATCAGAATGATTGCAATCTTGTGAAATTTTGGAAGGTCATTGCACTGGCCGGAAGATAAAACCATGCCCTCTGCATACTGTGTGCCATGTAGCTGAACGGATTTAGAAAGACTCACACTATCAAGATGTGGATACTTCCTCTCAATTAAACACCTCAGTGTGGTATCCAATTCTGAGACCGTGACCACTTTCACTCTTTCAACAATGAGCTTTTCCTTGAAAAGGTTAGGGCTATCCAGGTGGTAGGCCAACAATTGCTGGCGTTTCATGGAGAGAGTAAGCAGCACATTTTTCCAGTTGTTGGTGTCGTGAACCACTTTTTAAAAAAAGCTGTGCTTCGCCTCATATCGCATCGTCCATAATTCCACCAGAGGGCCATAACAACGCATTAGATGTGGGTAATGCTCAATGAAATGGTTCTTTGATTTAAGTTTGTACTCTGGAAATGTATCAGTAAGCAATTGACGGTGGTCCTGCAGTTTGGAAGACAGACGACACAGAGCTGCCTCTGAGAGCTTGTGTGAAACAACTATTTCAACAATGTCCTTGAGGTCCATTAAAATCATCCAAGCAGGTTCATTTTGGGGTATCTTGCATCCAATTAAAAAAGGAAGTAAGCGCAACAAAGCCCAATTCTCATGTCCATTGCCTGCAACCGTACCCTTCTTGAAGCTTCCTTTCGAAATGTGTTTTGGTTTGTTTACTTTGTCTGTGTTTTTGTATGGAAATTACTTTATGCTGTTATTAAGCAGATCCAACATTAAAAAACCTTTAGCAATCAAATTTTTCAAACACAAACACAATTCATAAGGGATGACCCCTTCGAAAAAATCATGCAGTATATCTGGAGGAAAGCCATTCACTGTATGAAAGAATTGTAAGTGCTTCTCAAGAACACACTCATTTTTGACACCATCATGCTTTTGAGTGCTTCGTTCTGCCCGAGCTCTTCCAAAACTGCACTGTGTCCATCAACAGCCCTTAACTGGAAATCCTCAACATGAGTCGTAGCAATTTGGTGCTTGCTTATCAAACAAAACCGACAGAACTTCTCAACATTAAAACTTTCAGAAAAGCCCGCACGACTATGTGCTGCAAGGTTATCTGCGCACACACAAAACACAGTACCTTTGACTAACTGATCAAGCACTTCAACAAATAGTCCCTCTTCCTCTATACACCGTATATCTTTAATCAAGGGTTCAAGAAACTTTTCATAACCATACGCCTTAACATCATCACTTCTACCAAGAAGAGCAAGCTGAATTGATGTAAGGCTAGATCGGAACTTGGCAGGTAAATTTAGAAGAACCCAATAGACTGCAGTTATCTCATAAATCTTTTTAGAGGTGCCCAAAGGATTACAGATTTCAAAATCATCCGTGTATAATGCCAGACTGATGCATTTGTTCTGCTGTCCCAAAAGCTTATTGTCTTTAAAGTGCTTTCCGTCTTGGAAAGACTTGTAGGATCCAGGGAAAGAATCTTGACCAAATACAACCTGTTCTGAAAAATCTTCTCTATTAAGTAGACTTCTAAGCACCTTTGGGACTGATATATACACAAATGAATTCTTGAGAACTGGAAAAAAAGATACTCTGTTGGTTCTATTACAGGAAACTTCTCCTGAAAATATAAAGTCCTGCGATAATCTGTAGAGAGACAGCCTTTTGCAGCTGTTGTTACCAAGAGTGGATTAGTCTTGACAATGGCATCAGATATTTCATGCAGAACTGAATCATCTACTTCAATTGTATGCCTCAAAAGTATCTCTTTCACACTTCTCAAAGTCTGATTGCTAGCAAAAGACAGAATGTTATGCAATTCCTCTACAACTTTTTGTGTAGCGTGCCTACTAATATGCAGCTCTGTTATCATACACAAAAAGAGACTAGCTAATTTGTGCTCAAGTGTTTCACCATCCACAATCTCATCAACGTAATCTACACCACTCTCCAATGACACCCCTGCTTCACAATCATCCAGTTCCCCATCACTTGCTTCAATGTCAGTGTTGCCTCTACATACAGTTCGAAAATCTTTAAGAGTACAATGTCTGTGATTACGGCTTCTATGAGAAGTAAAGGTTGGGCGAATGTTGGTTTTAAAATTGCATCTTAGAATGGGGCATTGCACAGTCTCTCGATTCCTTAAATGGTTTGCTAGATGGTTCCAAAAAGTCTTTTCGCTGCAAATCTCTTTAAAGTCGCACAATTCACATTGAAATGTTGAATTGGGTGAATTTACAGTGGATGTGTGTGATCTTGAGAGGTGTGACCGTAATGCACCAGATGTTTTAAATACACATACACAATCTGTGTAAATGCAAGGCCAATGTGTACCGTGACCGTGGTGAAGCCTACAATGCTTAAGAAGAATTTCCTGGGAGGAGCTTGAAAACTTGCACGACTTGCACTGCATGAAGTCCCTTCCTGAAACAGAATCACACACAAATCATTAGAATACATCTTGCTTATGTTTCCAATAATATTCCTTCATTTCCTACGTCAATTTCTTGTTAGTGAGTGACAAGGTATTGAAGTAATTAAACATTCTGCAGCCAGAAATGAGCAATGTACGGAAGAGGATTAGGGCCACTGAAAAAAAATTAACTGATCTTTAAATTTTAATTCAGTTTAACATGGGAAAAAAGTCAGAGTTCTGACTTTTTTTCTCAGAATTCTGACGTTTTTCTCTCGGAATTCTGACTTTAATCTCGGAATTCTGACTTTAATCTCGGAATTCTGACTTTTTTTATTGTCAGAATTCAGAGCAAAAAGTCAGAATTCAGAGCAAAATAGTCAGAATTCTGAGCAAAAAGTCAGAATTCAGAGCAAATTGTCAGAATTCAGAGAAAAAAAGTCAGAATTTTGAGAAATAAAGTCAGTATTCTGACTTTTTTTCTCAGAATTCTGACTTTTTTTCTCGGAATTCTGACTTTAATCTCGGAATTCTGACTTTAATCTCGGAATTCTGACTTTTTTTATTGTCAGAATTCAGAGCAAAAAGTCAGAATTCAGAGCAAAATAGTCAGAATTCTGAGCAAAAAGTCAGAATTCAGAGCAAAATGTCAGAATTCAGAGAAAAAAAGTCAGAATTTTGAGAAATAAAGTCAGAATTCTGACTTTTTTTCTCAGAATTCTGACTTTTTTTCTCGGAATTCTGACTTTAATCTCGGAATTCTGACTTTTTTTATTGTCAGAATTCAGAGCAAAAAGTCAGAATTCAGAGCAAAAAGTCAGAATTCAGAGCAAAATAATCAGAATTCTGAGAAAAAAAGTCAGAATTCAGAGCAAAAAAGTCAGAATTCAGAGAAATAAAGTCAGAATTCTGATAAATAAAGTTAGAATTCTGAGAAAAAAGTCAGAATTCTGAGAAAAAAGTCAGAATTCTGAGAAAAAAGTCAGAATTCTGACTTTTTTCCCATACTAAACTGAAATAAAATTTAAAAATCAGTTAAATTATTATTTTTTTTTTCAGTGGCCCTAATCCTCTTCCGTTGCAACGACATAGGCCTACACCCAAGTAAATGAATGAGCTTTTTGCATGAAGATCACCGTCTTTAAGGACTTTTTCTAACTACAGTAATTATTTAAGTGCATGTTATATTTAGATATATATTTCACAAATGACAAAACAATCAAATTAAGTGAAGCAAGAAATTAAATACTGAATGGCCAGTATGTATCAACAACCTAAAATGTAGTCTAAATCTAGACCTACCGCTCCCTCCACAACAGTTCAGACTACAGACTGACACAGGAGTGGATTTTCACTCCTGTCCCGTCCCACTCTCACAGAAAAAAATTGTGTCCTGTCCCAATCCCAGGCCAGAGTAGAAAATAAAAGTGCTGTCCCGTCCCTGGTATAATTACTTGCACTCCCATTCACAATGACTCCCGCTCCTGTACCACTCCCATTCTTGTTGCCTTTAAGATTTCTAGCAATACACTGAACCTGATTTTCTTATTTAAGTTCCTGTTTTTTGGCTGTAGTAAAAGCCAGTTAAAGTAAGTGGAATAATGATAAATAATAATAAAAGTAAAAAAACAAGGAAACAGACCATGCCTAGCTTAGTTTAATAAAAAAGTAAATGTTGCCTTTTACTAATTTATTAAGTCATTGTTTCACATAAACAATAAAGTTACTTTTATGTTTCAAATTTTTGAAACTAACTACTTAATTAATAAAGTGCATAAAGGCAATACTTTCATAATTTAGATAATGTACTTCATTAGCTCAAAAACTCAGTTTTGTAAAAGAAAAAGTTCAATATTGTACAAGCATATTAGTATTTGTACTTTTGCAAGAAATATCCACAAACTAATTAGGGTTTACTATCAGAACCAATACTTCCACCAAACATTAAGCACATTCTTGGACAGACCTCTCAGCTTTTATCAAAAATTCAGAGTGAAATTATGTTAATTTCGGGGACTGGAAAGAGCTGGTCCAGTCAACTCTGTCTCATTTTTATCCGACCAGACATTAAAAAGTGAAAGAGAAGTGTTAGGATGTTGTTCAGTTAGTGAGTTAAAACAGAAAAAATAACACAACTGTTCAAATAATACTGAAGAAAATAATAAAGTAGTTTTAAGTTATTGGCCGTATTATTACACTGTTTCACATTGGATAATGATTCCAGGAAACACGTTTTACAAGCAGGTACTGAATGTTAACACCGTTACATTCAACTCTAGCCAAGTTTAATATTTGCAACTTTCCAGTCAGCTCTGTGATTTAATAGATAAGTCCTTATTTCTGCGTTGCAAATCCAACTTTTCCAGGTTGAGTTCACGCGTAGCGGTTAATCCCCCCCCCTTTCTGTGGTATGAGCGAGCGGAAAACATAGACCGGAAGCACTGTTGGCTTCTGGGTCGTGTAGTTCTTTTGACTTGCATTATAGTTTAGGTTTCTTGGAAAAAAAAAAACTATAAAATGGCGGCGGCGACTCTACAATTTATTTTTTTCTATTTTATTTTATTTTATTTTTAAGCATCGATCCTAGTTTATTGTACCTGCTATTGGTTTACTCCCGCTCCCGTTGATATTTAGTCCTGTACCGTCCCAATCACGTGATATTCATGTTGACTCCCATCCCGCGGGAATACACTAAATATACGACTCTGGTTAATTCACCGACCAAATCTTCGTTTCTTTGAATAAAAGTGTTCTATGAAATCGTATTTACAGAAATAACTTAGCTTACCTGAAAATCTCAAGTCCTCCAATCTTCACAAAGGCGTGGGAAAAAGGCTGCGCTCTTGCAGAAAGGGATAGGAAACCCCGTACCGTAGTAGGCGTGTCCATGAAAATGAGCAGTGCGCATGCTCATGAGTTTACAGTTGAGGGAACTCAAAAAATCTTGTATAGGTGATTTAAAACTCCTTGTTAAACCAACTTCTGAGAATTTGAGTCGGGCAAACATGTATTTATTTGTTAGATGTCAAATTTATATTTCTGAGTCAGATTACAATACAATTGTGTGTTAGGACAACAATTGCCATTTACTTTTTTAACAGTGGCTGGAGATGGTTTAAGAGGTTTTATTGAGAAACAAGGCAGTGGACATGAACTGGAAGCAGTTTGGTCAGGTCAGGTTCTTCTGGGCTTCTGCAGAGAAGAAGAGGCTGGTGAATGAGAGGAAACTGTGCTGGAGGATTTTGGTGGGGGTGACACTCACAGTAGAGAGGCTGTGGTCCGGTCTTGGGGGGGAAGTGTCCCCGGTGGTCTGTGTGCTGACCAGTACTCTCTTCCTGGTTGGAGGTTCGAGGGTGGACAGGCAGGTGATCGCAGGTAGGAGGGCTGAACGGTGGTTAACCCGAGATCCTTCTCGGGTTCCTGGTTGTATTTCAGGTGGAGGGTCCAAGGTCTAAGGTTCACGGCTGGGTCCAGGGGTCAGAAACAAGGGTTCTGCAGAAAAAGGATTGAAAATGGATTTAGACTAAGGTTTAACTTTTACTAGGACTAGGCTTGGGTTTGGTCTGTTACCAACGCTGTGACGTTAACGAACTGACGCCCTCCTCCTGGTTCCAGCTCCTTAAGAAGGGTGGTGATCACCTCAGATGTAGTGCACCTGCCCGTCCATCCCTGCAGAGGAGAGAGAGAGAAAAACTGGCCTGCACCCGGATAGAACCCGGAGTGTGACAGTATCAAAACCAGTGATGTGCTGCTCTTGCGGTGTGGCTGGAGAGAAAACTTTAAACAACCAAAACCGTTCCCAGATTTTTTTGTCATTATGTGTGCTGTTTTCTTTTAAGTTTTGTAAAGACATGGAACATTTTCAAATTCTTGCCATGTGAGCCAGGTATATATGATAAAGTGCAGTCCCTGCTACAGAACGAGAATCAGAATAGCTTGTGAAGCTTTGATAAGTCTGGAGCAGCACTCCAGTAGGGAAAAAATTCAGTTTTGGAAAAGCCTGTCCAAGAAAAGACCAATACAGACATTATACATGAGAGTGACATAGTGTCTGAGGCCTTGCTGCTGTGAAAGTTGCTGTCCTTACATTAGCTAAGAAAAAAAGAGAAAAGGATCACAATGGTAAGAGAAGGAAAAAATATATTTCATACTTTACCCTTAGTAGGATACAGTGTGAGATTGCCAGAAACATCAGCACAAAGAAGCAACATAGATACTCTTAGGATAATTATCATTGATGATGTGTGAGTTTATTACACCTTAATATTAGATGTTTTCCTTAGTAGTTTATCTAATTAAACCAGTTCCACTGTTCGGGTATAGATCTTCATTTTGTATGTGGCAAAGATTTAGGGAATGGAATGAGAGCGTTCTCTTTCACCTAAGAACAAAGTGTAATATTTTAATAAGGCTGGAGCCATGGATGTCTACTCATCTGCTAACTCGTATGATGTCAGGATGTGATGATGTGACAGACTAGAGTTGTATAAAATGCCTCTTTAACTGTTGATCGAGGCCCCTTCCCAAGAAGTGAGCCCGAGGGTAAGCAGCTGCCTTCTGTAATTTTAATCAACTTCTCTGATCTGAGTAAGATTACTATTTGTATCAAAATATGTTGTAATGTCACATGGTTATTTAATACATATAAGTTATTAAGTCATAGGGAAATGGCTGTTCTAACAGTTGCAGTTCCAAATTCTCCCAAGTTGTGCACGACTTTACACGAGTCGTTTATCAAGGGGGCGGGGTTGTTGTGGTGGTAGGTTCAAGTTTGATTGTGGCCTGTGTCTCAGAAGCATCTTGCTAACTACTTAGCATTGTAGTGCTAGTAGATTCCCAATGGGAAATTCCGTTGGGACCAAGTAGCACTAAATTGGCGACTTAGAAACGACACTGTAAAGGAACGCTATGGACAGCAGAAACATGCAAGAGGAGAAGAGTTTTGTGTCGGAGGTTGTGGATGAGTCTCCTCCGTCATACACTTTTTATTTAGAGGAAGAAAGTGGGGATGAAGATGTTGTGGAAGAGGAGGCCAGGGCGGCAGAAGCTTGGTTTGGTGTAGAAGGCTTACAGCCGTACATGTTTGAGCCCTTGCCTCGCAACGCTGCCAGTTCTGTTAGCTCTACGCCTGCTGAAGACACAGACGTCCATCCCCGTGAACACTGGGACGGAACTCAATAGTAAAGTAAATCGACTCTTATTTCAACCGTTGCGTATATTAGCTGCAAATTATGAATCAAGATGCTATGAACGAAAAAATTTGATTGACAGATGACTGTTGATATATGATTGGCCGAATTTAGGTGTACAAGCTGACGTATAACTAACTGGCCTGCATAAGATGAGGGCCAAAAAAACACAGATTTTAAGATAAAAAATAAAAAAAAGAAAATTTTCTAACTTGTTTAAGCCAGAATGATTTGAAATTGAAATATGACTTCCCTACGACTTCAAACAGTTTGTCTCGAGTGATCTCTTTTCAGGAAAAATAACCAGAGAGAGAAACCTTCAAGGATGTAGACACGGAGAGCCTATCTATAACAAATTATGTTTCCACCATTTGCCTGCAACATCTTACATGTACATGTACCTCTTTGGGGTGACAATCTAAGGAGAGGACCCGGTCCAATCATATACACAAGTACTTTACCTTGTCCCTTCATTTTGTGAGATAAGAAATTGGACTTAGTCCAGTCTTGTCAAATAGTGCAGCTTTCTTCAAGTCAAATAGAAACTGCATGGCTCGTACTTAAATACGAGGAGGAAAAGGTTACAATACACCCAAAGATTTGCTTTACAGTAAATTTGTGTGAGAAGCAACATTATAAAGTATGGATTCTAATTCTATGCAACACTTAAAGTGTTTCTTGTGTTATTCAGGCCACCTTAGCTGTTAACAAGTTGTCTCATTAAACCAAAAGCGTCTTTTTATTTCATATTGACCTTATTTTTTAGCACATCATTTGAAAAGTGGAAAGAAAGCACTTTGTGATTTTCAATATCTAAGTAAACAGAGACTTTAAAAGTGTAGGGTAATTTAGTGTTCAGCTGCTGCAAAACTAAATTTCTCTAAACACTTTTTTTTACAGCAGTAATATATAGAATTGGTATGGAATATTTAACAGCTTGGTGCCTCTGCAGACTAAAATGTCCCCACAGCCTGCGGATACTACCACTATGCTACACGTCAGGGATGTGTAACATGGTGCTGTGTTTTTTTCGGGGTGATGCACAGTGTTCATTTTTATAGTAAAAAAATTTCAAAGGAATATTTACTGTATCTACCACACTTGCCTCCATAGATTCTCCCACCTTAGTGGTGTATCTCTGTAGCTACCAAGGACCTCTCTGATGAATGGTGCTCTTGCTTAGGTCTTGTGTTCAGGTTATGTTTTAGTTTCAAGCTTTTGACTTATTAGAAACTGTATTTCTGTTGTTGGCTGCTCAGTGGGGCAGTGGGTAGCACTGCTGCCTTGCAACAAGAAGGTTCTGGGTTAGAATCCCTTCCTGTGGTCTTTCTGCATGGAGTTTACGTGTTCTCCCTGAGCATGCATGGGTTCTCTCCAGGTACTCCGGCTTCCTCATAGTGTCCACAGTCCAAAAACATCACTGTTAGGTTAATTGGCTTCTCTAAATTCTGCTTAGGTGTGATTGTGTTCATGAATGGTTGTTTGTCCTGTTTGTCTCTGTGTTGCCCTACGATGGACTGGCCCTGTCCAGGGTGGAACCCACCTCTTGCCCGTGGACCGCACCCCTTGCGACCCCGCTTGGGATAAGCGAGACAGGCAATGGATGGATTTTTGTTGTGTTTCTTTTTTTTTTACTTTTTGGTTGACTTATGAAAGCCTCTGTTGCCATATGATTTATTTATGTGTATCAGTGTAAATGGGGCTGGACACTAAAGCAAACAGCACTTTTTATTGCAAAAAACATCAAAAGAATCTAAAAACCATTGAGTCAATATCTTACCATATCTTGCACTTCTTTATGTTGATCTGTCAACTATAGTCCCAATATGATAAACTAAAGATTGTGTATGTAATGTGACAAATTATGAAATATTCTTATGAAGAGTTCTGCAAGTAAAGTTTAATGAATTTCAGAATTGTGTGCATGTACACGTGTGTACAGTAGGTATGTGCAGCAAGTATGACATCTGAACATAAGATTCATAATAAATGTGGAAATGTCACCCCCTGAATATTTGAGTATTTGTTTCTGTTTTTTTGTGGTGAGAGGTGTACGTCTCTCCTGGAGGACAGGCCTCTTCAGGTCAACCAGACCACAGGTCATACAACTGAACCCAAACTTCTTCTGGTTTTCAATTATTCAGCTGATCCATAAAGACAACATAACACCTGTGGAATCTGTGTTCCTCAATGTCAAACATTTTCGTATTTCTGTATGTATGTGCTTTCTTCTAGACCTGTGAGAATTAATTAGTCCTGGTCCTTGCAGTGTCTTTTTTTCCTTTCAATTCTTTACAATTTCGCTTTTTGATTGATCAACCTTGGCCTTGAAAGATGTTTTTATCCTTACTCCAAAAGAACTCTATGGTCATTCAACTAATTGGAAATGTACAGTATCAAATGTTAGCTTTACTAAAGCTACAAAGCATCTAATCTTTTCATGTTTGTTACACACTTTTAGCCACAATCTATCTTAAACAACAGCTTACACTAAAATTAACTCCAGCAACTTTTCAAATTAACAAATTTACTACATCTTAATTCATTCTTAAATGTAAATTAAAATTATAATGAGTTGGAATGTGGGACTGTATCTAGGTGTTGAGTGGATGTTACAGCGTCAGCAAAGCTAACATTTTAGTTAACCAAGCTAGAAGTTCTGTAATGTTTAACATTTTTATTGTTTTTACACACA